AGCAACATACGCAACCATCCCAACACGACACGCCCAGCGGGGCGATTGCAAAATGGGGTAGGGGTCATGGACGGGTCAGTGTCGAACATACCATTCCTGTCTCTGTTTGGCATTCTGCTGCAAATGTCACAAGGGAGGGACTAACAACGCTAGGCAGCGCAAAACCTACTTTCCGAGGTAAAAGCTGAATTACTGGTAAGAGTCCCATTAACAACAGCATTGTGTTGTGAAGTGGGGCAAATGTGAGCCGGAGGGTGTCAAGCAGGGGTGAACAGAGACCTATAGGAGATGTACTGTACATACTAGACTACAAGAGTAGTAAGAGACATAGAAAGCACAGGCGTTACATAAACTGACTCAACTGATTTAACCAGTCTTATTCAAAATAAGATTTGAAAATACACTTATTTTGATTGTATAAATACTGGGTTACTGAATATCAACATAGTGTCTTTAAAAATATACCAAATTCCCTACCAGTCAAAAGTTTGTGGTCAGTAAAATATGTTCATGTTTTTAAATAAGTCAATTATGGTCACCAAGGCTGCATTTATTTGATTAATAATACAGTAAAAACATGAGATATTGCTACAATTTAAAATAACTGTTTTCTAGTTGAATGTATTTTAAAATGTATTTATTCCTGTGATGCAAAGCTGAATTTTCAGCATCGTAGGTAGGTAGCTTTATTGTCAGTCAACTGTACATGTAGGATGCACATATGAACAAAATTTCGTTTCACTGGCTCATAAAGAAAAACTACACTAACTAAAACATGTACTACTGTACAAAATCTATTTAAAAAATATAATATAAAATAAGATAAGATAAAAAACATGAATTAAGAATATAACACTAAAAATAATTTAACAGCAACATATAAATAATTAATAAGTGCACACAGGGCCGTCCTTAGGGGGGTGCAACTGGTGCGGTCGCACCGGGCCCCACGCTTGAGGAAAAGTTTTTAGAAAAGTTACTTTGAGTTCAAAAGTCTAATAGCTTGTGGATAAAAGCTATTGCAGAACCTTACTGTTCTGCCCCGAATGCTGCGAAACCTTTTTCCAGAGGGCAGCAGCATAAACAGTCCATAGTGAGGATGGGTGGGGTCCTTTAGAATATTTTGGGCACAGGCCAGAAAGCATTTGTGTGCAAGGTCCTGGATGTTGTGGACCTTGTGTCCAAGGTCCTGGATGGAAGGCAGTGAAGAGCCGCTGATCTTTTCCGCTGTCCTCACCACTCTCCGCACAGACCTCCAGTCTGAGGCTTTACAGTCCCCAGACCAGACCGAGATGCAGCTAGTCAATATCATTACTCATATAATTTCTTATTATTATCAGTGATGAAAACAACTGTGCTGATTAATATTTTTATGGAAGCAGTTATACATTTTTCAGGATTCTTTGATGAATAGAAAGTTCAAAAGAACAACATTTATTTGAAATAGAATTTTTTATAAAACAATTAAAGTCTTTATTGTCACTTTTGATCAAATTAATTCTAACGGAATAAAAGTGTTCATTTATTTTTTTTAAAGAAATCTTTCTGACCCTGTACTTTTGAATAGTAGTGTATTTTTTTATTTAATAAATAAACAGAATCATTAAAATTCAACTGAAATTATTATTATTATTATTATTATTATTTTTTTTTTTTTTTGGGGTGGCTTCCTTGGACAAATCCATGCCAGGATTTCAGACTTTTGGGGTCATAATGAATTTTGTAGTCATTTGTGATAACTGGATAATGGATTTTAAAACCATTTTATAGAAAGTAATTTGTACTAGGAAAATTATATATATATATATATATATATATATATAAAACTACTGTCGATTTTTTTCTTCTTTTTTTCTTTTCTTTCTTCCTTTTTTAAAGATTATTAAAGCCATGCCCATGAGATTTTAAGATTTTATTAATTTTGTTGGATATGGATATAATGCATAACTGCACAGTTAAAAATATTAAACTTTTAAAATAGCTTGTGGTTACAGTAGTGGCACATAAATAATGTGCTTTATAGAAAAAATCACATGCACTACAACAAGACATACTAAATTGTACTAAATAAAAACAGGTGGTGATTGTCTGTGCA